CTGCCTTCTCTTTAACCTTGACCTTCCCTAGTTTGGATTTACATCCGCAAAGGTGTCAGCTGCATTACTGGAGTCCCCCTTGGACAGAGGCTGCCCTCCTAGGATCCTCTCCTGGGCACCAGCAAGGAGGGGCCCCACACACACCTGTGCATCAGTTGTGTCCAGGAGAGGGCGCTCCTGGGGTGCGGAGAGGCTGAGAGCTGGGATGGGGGGGTTGATGAAAGACCACTTTGCCCAGAAGAGAGGATGAGGAGCTTTAAATAACGGAATTAGGGGCTGGGGAAAAGCGTAGCTGTCAGGGCATGAACCCAGGCCTGGAACCCCACCCCTCACGACCTCTGTGCTGCTGGGGGCAGCCCTGGAAGGCCCAGGCACCTCTAAACACCACTTGGGAGCCACTTTAAAAAACAACAGAAAACCCCAACATTTCCAGATCAAGGCATAAGGATTGCAAATATAAAAAAAAATGCAACAACTCCTGACCCTGTTGAATAGACAGAAATATTTAGGAGGGTACTAATTCTCTATTCCTCTATAAACTAGATTCCGTGCCCCCCCCACCCCCCGATTTTCAGTGACAGAGTTAAAGTCAGAGGAAGTTGATTTTTTTCCCCTGGGAAGGTGTAATTTTTTTTTTTTAAATCCCTGCTCTCTGGTCAGCAAGTGGATGAGCACAGTGGTCCTCTGCCTCCCTTCTGAACCATGGCTCCTGGGACAGCCCCCATGGCCCTGGCAGAAGCCCCTTCACCTTCGGTCCTCACGACCTTTTCACTAAGCAGGTTTTATGGTTCCTCTTCCCCCCCCCCCAATACACACACACACACACACACACACACACACACACACACACACACACTTGGGGCCTCCAGAAATCATAATCTGAATTTGATTTCCCAAAGCAGAGAAAGCTCACATTAGAGCCTTTCAAAGGCCACTTTAATCCTTTCAGACCCTCATTTTCAGGCATTTTCAATCCCTGGGCATATTAATATGTGACTCAGTGAGCACGAACCCTCCCCTTGCTACTAAATCCAGGCCCGGACTTCGAGTCTAAATAACTTGGCGTTTTTTATTGTTTTCTCCTTCACTCTCCCAAGCTTTTATTGCAGTTTCTAATTTAAGCTCCCTGTGACGGTCAGAAACGAGATGACTTCATTTTCAAGCGGATTTTCTCTGTGTGCACTGACCCTGAAGCTCAGAACAGTGAACCATAATAAATATATATATATATATGAAACTTTCAAGGAAAAAAAATGTATATAGTTTTGTTAGCCCTTTGAATATATCCACCCCCATGGTGAAAGATGATTACCCTCTGAGGAAGCTGCTTAAAAACAAAAAGTGGCAAACAACACACTCCCGGTCTGTCTTTCCTGTGACATATCTACATCACACATCTTAAGTACTCTGGAAAGTAAAAATATAGAGATATTCATTATGGAACATAAAAGAGGCCACTTTGCCAAGGGTGGTTTATGGAAACCACTGGTTTGGAAAATGCTCAACCCACCAAGGGTAGAGGGACGTCCAAAGCAGATTGGTCCTGGTGGTCTTGAAAGGCACAATGCTCAGCCCTGGGGGTGCGCTTCCAGGGACCCTCATGGACAGGGAAGGGTAGGGAGCCCACCTCTTCCCAAACTGAATAGCTCTGCCTTTATCCCATCACACTTGCCTTTTGTTTTGTTTTTGCTTTTTTGGGTCACATCTGGTGTTGCACAGGGGTTACTTCTGGTTCATGCACTCAGGAATTAATCCTGGCAGTGCTCAGGGGACCATATGGGATGGTGGGAATTGAACCCGGGTTGGCCGCATGCAAGCCAAATGCCCTACCCGCTGTGCTATATCGCTCCAGCCTACACACTTGCCTATTTTCTAAAGCAGAACCTTTCCCGGGTACGGGGCATGGCCCAGCAGCTGAAAACACCTGCCCTGCAAGGGTAACTTCCCCTCGTCTGATCCCTGGTGCATCCACATGTGCTGAGCATGGTTCCTGCAGCTGTGTGCAACCATGGGCGCCATCCATTGCACAGAGAGATACTTGTGAGTAGTCAGACCCCTGTGAAAGTGTGTGCCCCACCCCCACCCCCAGACTCCGCAGGAAAGGATGAGGACCAGAGCCAGAAAAGATCCCGTGAACTCTAACCAGCTGAGACAAAGTGAACTGAATGTGACTGAATGTGAGACCCCAGGTGCAACATCACCAACATGGAACAAAGGGAAGGAAGAGGGCAGGGGTGAGGCCGAACATTTCCAACAGCTAATAAAAGTCCTCTAAGGTCGAATCTGCTTGCTCTGCCCAGGCAACTGTGGGGGCCCTTTCATAGACAACATGAGAAATAAACGCAGGTACGTGCAGAGCACTGTACGCCTGCGGATGTTGTGCCAAGCCCCATGTGTCACCACGGCCAAGTGTGTTTTGATAGCTGTCATTAGCAGCGGAGGGCGCACAGAAGGCCGGACGTGGTTTGAAATGAAGGAGAATTTCCTGAATATAGTCTTGCACCCCGGGGGTGGGCACAGGCAGTGCCTTTTCTCGTTGGCTGTGAAATCAGTTGGCCCTGGAATTACCGGAGAGTCTCTGGGAGGTGGTGATTTGAGGTTTGAATATTGTGACAGCCGGCCGAGCTGGTCGCGGGAACTCTTTCGGGGCCATTTACAGAGCAGTGAGATGGAGAAAGCACAGGCTGAGCTTCTGCAGGTGGTGATTGCCCCGGCTGCTGGGAGCAGGCAGCGCTTTCTGTCCCCCTGGGAAAAGGGCTTGCATGGAGCCATGCACTGCCACGTGGGACCAGGACGACACAGAGGGCCAGAGGGGCTCTTCATGGACACCAGATGGGATCTCCGAGCCTTACAGGTGCCTCTCTCCCCGCTCCCTTCCCTTCCTTGGGACCTCGCAGGGACTCCTGATGCTACTTGGCAGCGCTCCCTGTCCCCGTATTCCCGCGCTGGCCTTCTGCCCTTTCACCCCCACCTCCCTCCCCATGGCGTGAGCACCTGGGGTTCCACTGCCTGGAGAGCTCTTCTTGCCATCCTCAGCCTTTGGAGTCTTGTCCTGTCCAGGCCTTGGCCCTGGACATTAGCCCTCCAAAAGCTTCCAACCCAAGTCTGCTCTGGAGGAGGACAGCAGTAGGCTTCACCTCCCTGCTCCGCTACTGTGTTCATTGGCTCCTGAGCCTGTGTGGTAACCGCCTCCCTCTGTTTTCATTGGCTCCTGAGCCTGCGTGGTGGCCGCCTTCCTCGGTGTTCATTGGCTTCTGAGCCTTGTAGTAACCACCTTCCTCTGTTTTCATTGGCTCCTGAGTCTGCCTCCCTTGGTATTTATTGGCTCCTGAGCCTGCGTGGTGACTGCCTCCCTCAGTGTTCATTGGCTCCTTAGACTGTGGTATCCAGCTCCCTCTGTTTTTATTGGCTCCTGAGACTGCGTGGTGACTGCCTTCCTCGGTGTTCATTGGCTTCTGAGCCTGTGTGATAACCACCTCCCTCTGTTTTCATTGGCTCCTGAGCTTGCGCGGTGACGGACTCCTTCTGTTTTTATTGGTTCCTGAGCTGCCCTGTGGTTGCCTCCCCTCCTGGCTCCCCTACAGTGCCTTGAAGACTGTAGGTCCTAAGAGGTTGCAAAAGGATTATTGAGAAACATACTGATCTGTTGACTTCTTGAAACTTCTAAATCATATTTTCTTTTTTTTTGGGGGGTGGCAGGGATGCCACACCTGGTGGTACTCAGGAGTTACTCCTTGTTCTGTGCTTAGGGGTCACTTCTAGCCGTGCTGGGGGGTTGAACCCTGGGTCTCCCACATACAAAGCATATGTTTGGCCCATTGAGTTATCTCCCTGGCTCCTACATTTCTAAATCTTGAGCTACAAATGAGAAAACACTGGAACACGAAAAAAGCGATTCCCTTTTATAATACTGCCAGATCTATTTTAGGAAAGGTGTACAGCTCAGTGTAATCTCACCCAAACCAAAAAGGGTGCAAGTTCTTAGCCCTTAGCACGTGGTTCTTGTATGATTAAAGGCCTATTTTTAAAACAGGGATACATTTTTCTCATGGAAATCCTGAGTCCTAAAAATGAGACAACTCTTTTTATAGATGTAGGGCTCGGTTCACAAAAAAACGTTTAAATTCTTGGCTCCGCACGTTAAACCTACCAGAAAGATCACATTAGAATTCATTTTAATAGACATTGTAAGCAGAGTCTCCAATCTCATATGATCCTGCTGGGCTGTTTTATTAGGAAGCTCACAGGAAGCAGAGCCTGAGGCTGCAGAACAGTCGTGGGGGTGAGCCCAGGACTGGGGCCTGTGCCAGCTCTATTGTTTATGGAATATTCTCTTCACCTTTATCTGTGGTGTGCGATTGGTATTGACTTTTGAGAAACTACTTCTTCACCCCGATCTCCCAGTTGGAAAAGGAACCCGCTGAAATGACATCTGGGTAGGAAAAAAGGGATCAAAGAAACAGAAGGCGAGAAACATGATGAGACCTGGTTTAATAAGTCGCTTTAGGCGTGTTAGATCCAGGAGAGGGAAGAGCATGGTGCTTTTTTGAGGTCACCATTCCTTTCTCCCCTGAAAAAGCTCAGTGAACTCCACGAATGCTTGTCGTTCAGGCCCTCGGTCGCTAGTGTTGGATTTACTTAGCAGTTAGCAAAATCTTTTTCTTTTATAGATAATGTTGTTGTTTCTTGGGCCACACCTGGTGGTGCTCAGGGCTTACTCCTGCTTCTGTGCTCAAGGATCACTCCTGACGGGTTCTGGGGACTGTATGAGATGCTGGGGGTTGAACCCAGGGTAGCCACTTGCAGGTGACTTGCCCTCTATATTAAATCTCTCCAGCCCCTTTATGAATTTATTTTTAGGAATAAATATTGCTTATCAAAAGGAAGGTTAAAAAATTGAGTGTAATACTTAATCATTTTGTTGTTCCTGTCTTGTTTTTCCTTTAGGAGGAAAAAGTCTTGTCAAAAAAAAAGTTTGCTTGTTTGTTTTTAACTTTTAGGCATACCACTTCAGGAGTTTTTAAATATAGTAAGGAGAAAGAAGGAAGCTCAAATCTTTCGGAATGAAATCAGACACATCTTCACAGCTTTTGACAGGCATTGTAAGTGTGTTTCAAGTGTTTGGGTCCAAAAAGATGACTGTTAAGGAACTGTGAATGGGACCGTCTCCTCAGCAGATCTGAATATTTGGGGGATTATGTTACGTCTGTTATTTAGTACCTTTGATATCTGCATGAAAATTTTTTTTCTGTCTTAAATTATTGACAGTTAAGAATGCTTGCAGTTATAGAATTGTCTCTGTGATTTGGCTCTATTCTATTGGGGACAGCCAAAGGGTTGGCCCTAATGGGGTCATAAGCCTTGGGTCAAGGGGTGGGAGTGGGGAGCATTGGGGTATCTGTGATTGGAGTCCTCGGTGTGGCTGAGAGGAGGGTCTTCAGACCCCTGAAGGACTCACCCCGCCCGTCCAGGGTAGAAAAGACCTGTGGAGTCTGGCCCCAGTGGCTTGGCTGCTACTGTTGTTTTCCCAAAACATTAATAGAGTTCTGATCGCAAGCCAGAGTTTAAGTGGATTTCGAAGGAGAAATTGTAATGGGAATTTCCCAGACCTCGAGCTTGTGTCATCATCACAGCATATGGCGTGACAGTCTTTCCCTGGGACTCAGAACCAGCCAGTGACGGAGCTGAGATGCTCTCTGAGCTCCGTGGGTGCTGTTTGGAAGAAGAGCGTGACTAGATTTTTGTTTGCACATTTTTTAATATATTTTTTTCTAAGCATAGTTATCCCCTGTCAGATTCAGGGCTTACTCCGGGCTCTGCATGCAGGCATAATCCTGGTGGTACTTGGGGGACCATAAGGGGTGCTGGAGATGGAACTGGGGTTAACTGCATGCAAGGGAGGCACCCTACTTGCTGTACTGTTGTTTTAGCCCTTTGTTATGTTGTTTTTTAGGTCACGTTTAGGTGGTGCTGTGTGACTTTTCTTGACTCTGTTTCCAGGGGTCACTCCAGGAGGTGCTAGGAACCATAGAGTACTGGGCTCCCACTCACAAAGCCTGTACCCCAGCCCTCTGATCTCTCTCTGCACCATTAGCTCCATTCTTGGTTTGGGTTTTGGGGCCTCACTGGGCTATGTGTGGGGGCTGTTCCTGGCAGGGGCCTTGGGAGTGCTTCTGGAGGTGCTCAGGGTAGCATGGTGCTGTAGTTCCCAGTTACTCTCCCATTTGTAGAGCATGAGCTCAGACTTTGGAATCAGCTCCACACCCCCTTTCCCCCACTAGATTCTATAACTGTCACTGTCTTCCCATTGTTCATTGATTTGCTCGAGTGGGCACCAGTAACTATTGTGAGACTTGTTGTTACTGTTTTTGGCATATCAAATACATCATGGGTAGCTTGCCAGGCATTGCCATGTGGGCGTGATACTCTCGGTAGTTTGCTGGGCTCTCCGAGAGGGGCAGAAGAATCGAACCTCTGTCGGCCCATGTTGGCCACATGCAAGGCAAACGCCCTATCTAGCCACTGTTCTATCACTCCAGCCCAGATTCTATATTCTTTTTTGGGTGGCAGGGGATTTGGGTCACACCCGGCCATGCTCAGGGGTTACTCTTTTTTTTTTTTTGACTTTTTGAGTCACACTTAGCAATGCTCAGGGGTTACTCCTGGCTCTGCACTCAAGAATTACTCCTGGCGGTGCTTGGGGGATCATATGGGATGCCGGGGATCAAACCTGGGTTGGCTGCATGCAAGATAAATGCCCTAACCGCTGTACTATTGCTCAGGGTTTACTCTTGACTCTACACTCAGGAATTATTTCTAGCTGTACTTGGAGGACCACATAGGAGCCCGGGGATTGAACCCCAGTTGGCTGAGTGCAAGGCAAGTGTCTTACCCCTGTACTTTTTTGCTCCAGCTCCTGATTCTCGATTCTTCTATTCTTTCAGGGGGAATTCTTTTCTTTCAGATTGCCTTTGGTTAAAGAAAAAAAATCAAGTGTAATTTACTGCTCTTCTAAATAATCACCAAATAATTATTATAATTATTTATAGAATAATTATTTACATACTCGTAATTGCTACAGTTTCCCACGGATAATCATGGCGGAAATGTAGGCCGTCGGGTCTGGAGGAGGAAGTGCATGCCTTGTCTTTTGTTTCCCAATAGATCGTGGCTACTTAACTTTGGAAGATTTCCAAAAAGCCTTTGGCCTGGTGGCTCCCAACTTACCTGAGAGGCTCGTGCTTGAGGTGTTCAGGTAAGACAGCGGAATCTTGGTGCCATGTGAGTTCCTGAGTCCAGGGTGCCCGCCACTTCTAGTGTGTGTGTGTGGGGGGGGGGGATGCTCATGCCTCCTGGTTTTGGTGGGAAAATTCAGGTCAGCCACTAGTCCATCCCACTGACAGTGGCCTCGAGAGTGAGTGGAGGGATGGACCGCCGAGAGGAATGTGGAGATGAGGGGTGGCCAGAAGGCGGTGAGAGGGAGAGGGGCATCTCTGCATCCGGTGCCTGGATCGGAACTGAACCCGGGTCTCTTGTGGCATGGTCCCCCGCCCCGGCTCTGCCTACCTTTCCTCTCCACAGCTTTCCTGTGGTTCTCCATCATCCAGAGCATAGAGCTGGTCCTCATAACGTGCTTTGTGGTTTGTCGGTGTTCAGAGTTGTTGGCACAGGTGCCCATGTGCACCTGCCTGGTCAAGCGACCTTGGAGGCTGAGGGGTGCAGGTTTTGTGATGGAATCCTGACCTGGTGGTCTCAAAGCATCTATGTATATGGTCCCTGGAGCACCTCCAGGGGGCACTCCTGAGCTCATAGCCTGGACTAGACTCTGAGCACCACCAACTCTGGGTTACCCCTATCCCCATATAATAGAATATGTGATACCTAATAAAACCACTCATACCTGCATGTTCAGTTTATTAACCCTGGAACATCTTAACATGGTGAGAAAAAATTCCTACCAAGTTTCTGTGGCTTTAAATCATTTCTTTTAATATAAAAATTCATTCACATTAATAAACTTTCAGGTGAAACATATCACGAGAGAAGGACATTTGTTAGCTTTATTGGAGTTAGCAGTAGTAAAAAAATAATAATTTTTCGACCTTCCCCCCAACCTTTTCCTTACTGAGGAGATGGGGATAAAAAAAGCAGAGGGACTTGGGGCCGTGACCCACCCCCAACTCCTTCTGCATCTGCATATCTTAGTGATGGTTCTGACAGTCACTGAAACCAAGAATTAAAACAAGCTGAACTTTACATTGCTCAGCCACAAGGGACGAAGCGGAGGTGTTCAGGGATAATAAAGCTTATTAAATCGCACTGAGTTTTATTAAATATGGTTAATAATTTCTAGTCACAGCAAAAGCTCACTTGCCCACTTACAGTTTGTATATTCAATCCTTTAGAGTTTCAACAAAGCGTTCTGTAAGGTGGTGCATCACATACTGACGGAGTCACGCTTGTCCTTAAAACCCATAAATGAATCTCCACGTGCTCACGATTCTTATCCTGCCCAGGCAGGATCAAAACATTTGGAGACCCCTGCCATATACAGCCACGCAATGCATTTTAATTCATGAAACCTGTCCGGTTTACTATCTGTGTTTGGTAGCTAGCAACATAGTCCCCAAACCAGAAGGAAGGATCCACAGTTGGGAAATGAAGGTTTTTTTTCTTTTTTTTTTCTTTTTGAGTCACACCCAGCAATGCACAGGGGTTACTCCTGGCTCTGCACTTAGGAATCACCCCTGGCGGCACACAGGGGACCATATGGGATGCTGGGTAGGCCTCGTGCCAGGCAAACGCCCTACCCGCTATGCTATTGCACCAGCCCCGGGAAATGAAGTTTGAAACTGGAGCAGGAGAGAAAAGGTCCCCCACATCTCCATGAATGAAGTCAGGCCCAGTCATTCAGAAGAAGACTGATGAGGAGGAAAGTATAAGCAGGCAACAAGAAAGGGCGAGTTTCAGTGAAACCAGGTTCACCTGTAGTTTTACAGGTGGAAGTCATTTCCATAATCCTTTAATTCGCCAATAGCTTGTGAATTAAAGAAGCGTCTAAAGATCCAGAGTAGTCTTGATCCAAAGCATCTGCCCACCCACATTCCTTTCTCCCCTTTTGTAAGTCAGACCCACCTGCCATAGCCAAAAAGCCAGCCAAACAACCCGAAGACTCTAGATAGGCAGATTTGAGGGACGGAGACATTCTAGAACCACTTTGCTTTATCACCGTTGGCTGGAAAGGCAAGTGTAAAGCAATAAAAATCTGAGGGCATTCGAGGAACCGAGATATTTTCAGGAGGTTTGTGAATCGTTGCCTAAGTGCTCTGGTGGTCTTTGCTATTGTTCCATTATCATGAGTAGGAGGTGTGGTGGTTGCTACAAGAATCTCTTCCGGTTCACAGGCTTTTTATTCCACAATCCCTACAGTCAGCATCTGTTTCAGTCTTAGTCCTTAGAGTAAAATGGAGTCAAAGCTCCTTCCCGGACTTCATGCCATAGTTTCTGCTTAGTTGAAGTTTATCCACTGGTAGGATAAGAACTCGCTATTCCCAGCTGTCTTCCCGTGTTGAAAAATGTTTACGTGGGCCATTGTCCTCGACTGGAAATGTATAATGGATTGAATGTTTGAGTCACTCTCGTCGTTGAGAATGCTGACCGTGTTTTTCTTGGAAGTCCTTTGAAATTTTTTTTTTTGTCAAGTTCTTTTGCATTTGCTTGCCTTGCTCACCACAGCTCGGTATATTTTCGGCAACGGCTATTCTTTGCGCTACATTCAATAAGACTTCTTTTCTCTCTTCTGGTTTTATTTTTTTCCTCTTTCACGTATTTTTTTTTCCTTTTTACATTTTTTTCTTGAGCTTTTATCTGCTGGCAGTTCATTTTTATTTTGTTATTTTAACATACCTGATTATTTTATAGGATCTTCCTAAGCTTTTTAAAAACTGCTTTCCTCTTGGGGCCAAGGATGTGACTCAAAGGTAAAGTGTATGCTATGCATGTGTGATACCCTCCTATCCATCCCTGGCACTGCAAAATAAACAAATGTGAAACCTTAAAGGTGTTTACTTTTTTTTTTTTTTTGCTTTTTTTGGGGAGTCACACCCAGCGATGCACAGGGGTTATTCCTGGCTTTGCACTCAGGAATTACTCCTGGCAGTGCTCGGGGGACCATATGGGATGCTGGGAATTTAACCCAGGTTGGCCATGTGCAAGGCAAATGCCCTACCTGCTGTGTTATTGCTCCAGCCCCCGAATGTGTTTACTTTTGAGGGGGGAAAAAAAAGAAAGATTTTTTTCTTTTTTTTTTTTTGAGAGAAGGGATCTAAATAACAAGTTCCTTTCTTAGTACAAGAGATGATATCTTCTGGGGCTGGAGCAATAGTGCCGTGGTTAGGGCATTTGCCTTGCATGTGGCTGACCTGGCTTTGATCCCTGGCACCCTATATGGTCCCCCAAGCCTGCCAGGAGTGATCCATAAATGCAGAGCTGGGAGTTAGTCATAAGCACCAATGGCTATGGCCCCCAAACCAAACAACTAAAAAATATAAAAAAGATAGATGATATTATCTGTGAAAAGCAAAGCCAAAAAAGGATGCTAATGGATGTTATCTCTAAATATGTTTACTATTTGGACTCCAAATTTTGAGATTCCTTTCAGTGCTTGAAATGACAACTTGGCTTTCTCCTTGTGAGCAAAGTCATGGTTTGTGCTGTTGAGAACTGCAATAACTGAGAGTCTATCAAAGATGAGGTTTCATCAGAAGTTCTTTGGAAGTTCTTTCCTTGGAGATCTTTTGTTCCCCTACCACCACCCCTGGCGGGAGATGAAGAGGCAGGCAGGCAGACGCGGACTGAGTGTGAAGATAATAGGCTGCTTTTAGCACTCAAAGGTGGAGGAAAAAAAAAAAAACCTTCCTCTTCTCTACTAACGGAGCTTATGGAAAAGTCCAGAGCAATCTTTTCTCCCTGCTTCCCTTTTGGTGCTGCTGCTGTTTCTGTTTGGCCATACCTGGAAGTACTCAAGGCTTCCTCCCGGCTCTGTGCTCTGGGGTCGCTCCTGGTGGTCCTGGGGGTTGAGCCTGGGTCCACTGTGTGCAAGCTGCCTTAAACCCCTTGCCACTAGGTGCCCAGCCCCTCCTGCTGCTGCTGTTGCAAACTCATGCGCTTGCTCACGGTGCTGGCACACACCTTCTGGTTGCAGCACCTGCTGGAGGTCACCATGGCGCTCACATACCATTTCGTGGTGGTACCAGCTGGGGACGAGGGGTCGCACACCTTAGCTGCGATGTTCACACCTGCCTGGTCGCAGGGCTGCGGCGGTCCGGTTGCCTTGGCAGCTGAGCCCTGCCGTTGCTTTTCTTCTTCTTGTCTTTCTTTCTGCATTCAGACTCATCAGGGACACTAGAGGGTGAAGTGCGAAGCGTTTAACCCAGCTCTCCAACATCTGGAGTCCTTCCCCCCCCACTTGCCTCTCGTTAGGTCCCGGTTGTTCTCTTTCCTGGCTTATTGCTTGTTCCTTTGAACGTGTGCACTGTGTGTTTTTACTTCACTGATGACTTTCCTTGCTCATCGTGCCTTTCCTGCCTTCCTTCCTGTCCAAATTAGACCTATCTCTCAAGAGCCCGCTCAATGAAGTGCTCGCTCTCTCTGTTTACATTGAGCAATTGCCTCTCCTTGCTCTAAATGTTGATGTTGATGCTGCTTGTGCTTGTGGGTTATTTATTTATTTTTTTCTAAGTGACTTGATAAACAAAACACTGTCATTAGGACCACTCCATAGGCTACTACAAGCTCTCGGAGTTGATGAACTTATCTCTAGCTTCGTTGCCTTATGCATCGTCGTTACTTTATCATTGCTGCTCCTTTGTCACTCATGCCAAATACCCAGAAACAGTGCATTATTCACTTGCAGTTCTCCTTGTAGTTGATTTCTTTTCAAGTCAAAAGAGTGTTTTAAAATGCAACAAGGAGCTTGATGATCACATGTGACGTTATGTTCCATTTTCCCCTCTTTTGCATGCACTTTTTTTTAATGGATTATTTTTTTTACCAGATCTGAGGAGCCCTGTCAACTCCCAAGTGAGCCTGAGCTTGCTCTGTCTGGGTTTTGCCCACCCCCAGGAAAGGCAGCGTGAACAGGAGCAGGGTCAGTCCCCACAAAGCTCTGAAGATTCTGAGTGCATGAGCCCATCCACAGACCCTCCTGTCCTGCGGACAGACACCAGGATGCTCCATACCTGTGACCTGAGACAC